AGGGCTCAGCAGACGCGCCAGGATCAGCACTGAGCTCCAGCTGGAGCCTGGCGCTGATCCTGGAGCTTCCATTGAGCCCTGACCAGCCCTGCAGCTCCAGCCGTCTCTCGCTCAGGCTTGTGCAGCTCATTCCCCTCCCCCACTACCACTTTTCTAGGATGGTCACGTACCACCTGCCAGGTGCCAATGTACCACAGGTGGTACCCGTACCACTGGTTGAAAAGCCCTGTGATAGAGCTATATCTTGAGAGCTTTCTGGAAAAGTAGCAAGGAGGGGGTTAACTTTATTTCCAAGGAAATGATGTTTCAGAGGAAGGAAGCTACTATAGAAAAGGCCCTTCTTCTAGGTCCTGGTGAACCTCCTTAACAGATGGGACCCACAATATATTCTGCCTTTCCACTTTGGTCGGCCGATTAGATGAAAAAGTTTTCTGTGAAGAGTCATTTAAAGCAGGGTCCCCAACCTGTGAGCCGTGGCCCACTACCGGGCTGTGGCCTCTTGAATGAGCCGTGTGAATGGCTCTCCCCTACTGAGAATCACGCAGGCTCTAGCCCTACCCCAAGCATCACCCGGAGGCTAGCCTCACCCTGAGCATCACCCAGGCACAAGGCCCATTTCTAGTGTCACGGCGCTAACCCTGTACTTAGCACTGTGCGGGCGCTAACCCCGCCCATGTTTGCATCGCATGCGCACATGCAGCCCCATGCCTCCCCCTTCCTTTCCCTCCGGACCACCAACCTAGAAAGGTTGGGGAGCTCTGTTTTAAAGTTTAGGACAGGGGTGTCAAACTGCCCGCGGGCCATTGCATCATATGGAGGCCATGCCCACCCCAGCTCTAGCAATACAAAAAAACTTGTAATACATCGTGACACGTCACATGATGCGATGAGTTTGATACCTGTGGTTTAGGTAAATTGCTGTGATATAGAGAATGAGAAACTATATATAAATCTTATTTTTCCATATGAAAAGTTGTATCTGATGCTTTTCTTGTGTTCATAATCACTATTAAAACATGTACAATGTCTTGTCAGAAAACTTGGCAACATATAAAACACTCTTACGAATTATGCAATGTATAGTTATTATTCTGATAGTCCAGAAGAGAAGTAAATATAGTGAAGATTATTATTATGTCAGCAAGATTAAGAGTAGTCACCAGAGTCACCATTGTTAGTTTTGGAAATGGAAATATTTAAGAAGAAAAAAGTTTTAATGGATGATACAAAGATCTGCTCTTTATATAATCAAAATTAAATTACAGATACTCCTTGAATTGTAACAGTTCACTTAGCAATGGTTCAATCCTCGCCAAAAGTACTTATGACCTGATCCCAAAGTTATGTATGTTGCAGCACCACAGCGGTCGTTCATCCTTACGACCAACCACACAGGTGCTGGAAAACGTTTCCTGCCTATTTTCCCCCAATCATGCCCTACTGCAGTGGTGGCGAACCTCTGGCACGGGTGCCAGAGGTGGCACTCAAAGCCCTCTCTGTGGGCATGCGTGCCGTCGCCCCAGTCCTCGGCCTTCAGCTGGGTTTTATAAAACCTTTTCGCTTTAGGCCTCCGTCGCCGTGTGCCAAAAAAAAGGTTCAATCAATCAGTCAACTTCAACTTCTCGCGGGGAAAAAAAAGATCTCGCAAAGTTGGAATTGATTGATTGAACTTTTTAGTGCCACCCAGTCTTCCGTTACCACTGCAGCCACGTCCACTCAATGGGCCACGTCCACCCAATGGGCCACACCCATCCGGCACCCGACGATGCATAAATGGGTTTTGGGTTGCAGTTTGGGCACTCGGTCTCTAAAAGGTTCGCCATCACTGCCCTACCGGGTCTCTGCAGGCACTGGGCCAGCTTTGGTAACCCACTGTATTCCACATGCTCTTCCTCACCCGTCACCCACCGCTCAGTTGCGTTTGGAAGATTTTCAGAGCTCAAGATGTCGATACGAAATAGTTTTCCTTAGATTTAGTGTTCTTACATACGATTCCGTCCTCTTTGGAAAAGTATTTCTCATGGAAGACAAGTGTATGCAAGAACGTGAGATTTATTATGTTCCTGCAGGCTTTATTTTGGCCCAGCCTGAGTGGTGCCATGTGTTCCCTCTGCATATTTTCATCAACAGTTCCTAAACAGCTAAAGCAGCAGCACAGTTGCCGGGGACACCCAAATACTTACAGCAGGCCAGGTTGATGCAAATCTGGCGGTCCTCAGGAGGGTTCCTTCGTTTGGAGCGACCCTTGCGGTCCGCAGGCACCTTCCTGCCTGCCAGATCTCCATCAGAGTGTGCCCGGCAAGCAAGGGGTGCAGAGCAGCCAGCATACCAAACTCTCCAGGTCTGGAGCAGCACAATTGGTAAGAGCCAGCCCGGCCTCTCCCATTTCCCACTGAGCCCCAGCCTCTCTCAAGTGGGCATGGCCCTGCCCTGCCACTTGAGTGCCAAACCTGCCTGGATCTCGCTAATTGCACCGCCACACAAAGGGAAGCCTTGGGTGGATGGAAGCAGTGGTCTTGTCTCTGCACTAGGCCTCCCATGGTCTTCCCCACTCCTGAGGTACCCTATGTGCTCTTAATAACCTGTGCATTTGATTTGTGAATACATTGGGGAGAGGAGGAATGGGCTCATTCCTTTATCATGATCCAGTTTACAAATCCTTAGGTTACACATGTAATTGGCAGGCTCCATTACATTCGTAATTCGAGGATTACCTGTAAAAATAACAGACATATATAAAATATGTGTTAATACTCTAATTATAGTCTTTTCACCCCAGAAAAATATATATTGTAACCCTAATCATTTTGCAGTTGACTAGTGGTGATTCAAGCCAGTGGTGTTCAAGCAAAGCCCCTGATATTTTGAATTTGCAGCCAAGGCACCTATCACTTTTGGTATTGTCTTTGCTTTCTTTTGCTGCAGTAGTTCTGTAGGTATTTGATTCTCTCCAGTTCTTTCTTTTTTGTTCTGTTGTCTCCATTATTAGTGTCCACTATCCAGACCTTTTTATCTTATCAACAGTTGTTAAGTCTGGGATGTTATGTGCTTGTCTTTTTGAACTCTGAAGTCCCAGAGCACTTTAGCGTCTTCACTTCCTTATTATTATTATCCCCCTAGTTTTTGTTTATAGGCTGTATCTCTTTTTTATTCTTCATTTGATTTTTCTTATAGACTAGTTGGTCTAGTTTATACTTAGTAGGCTATTCTTTAATTAGAATACAACAGTGATAACTTTGATATCAGCACAGCCTTGAAGAGGTTTCCCAACTATTTTTCTTCCATGTTAGATGACTTGTAAACCAGGGATTCTCAGTATGCAACTTGAAAAAGTAGTTCATACAATTCTTGTGTTTTAACTTTAGTTATTTTTACTCATGTTGTAAGAGTGTATAATGTACTGATTCCTTCTGAAAATTTGTGAAGTGGTAAACCTAGAAAATCTGCTTATTAATTCAGAAATGTCAAGAATGAGACATTTTTATGCATAATTTGCTAAGGTCTTTTAAAGATACATTTATTCTCATATTGAAAGATGAAAACACCCCTATTGTTATTCTCCTCTATTAATAAAGAATAATGCAGTCCAAGGATGATTTGAAATTTAATTTTAATTTCTCCATA